GAGGCGTGGGGGAAATAGGGGCACTTAAAAAAAAAAAAAAAAAAAAAAAAAAAGGAAGTTGTGATTGTAAAACCACTGAAATTGGCAGTGGGAAGCAGGTGTAGTCAGTAATTTTTTAAAAATGGTTATTTCAAGGTGGCAGTGCTCCTTTAAACATCCAGGTACTTTTGATTATCAAAAAAAAGCCCTAGATACCCAATTATCTGTTAAATGTCATTGTAATTTTTTAAAGGTGACCTAGGATTTGAAATTTTATTTATTTCCTTTTCAATACCTTCTTCTAAATCAGAAAAGTTTTTCCTCCAGATTTATCCTATTATATTTGAACAGCTTATTTTCCCCCCAGTATCTTTGTTTGCCAACATCACATTTGACATGTGCACACCCCTCAGAATAGATCTGCTACTGCATAGCGAACAGTAAAAAGAGGTTTGTTTTTATGAGTTCTGTATAAATACATCTGGGGAGGAAGGTTGAAATGTTACTCAGCAGACTTTTTTGTCCTGAAGAAAGACCTACTGTCTTGCAGTGGGAGGGAATGTTCCTACTAAATTTAAACACCCAGGTCTAATTTAATCCCCTTATTAGAGCATTAAAAAATCGTCATGGTAATTGAAGGGTGTTCCCTAGATAGTGTAAGTAACTATATGTTGGCTTGACTAGCTTTTGATGCTAAAGGCAGAAGAGTATTAGTCCAGGATATGGTTACTTGTTAAGTTAACAGAAGCACCTCCCAGGTTGTTCTGAAACTTTTAATTATGCAAACTTGAATGTAAAGAAGATAGAAGAAAAGGTTCTTCCAGTATAGAATCCAAACCTTGAACAGGTATTTAATATCTTATAAAAAAAAAAAGAAGAAACCCCTTTGATTCATCTGATTTTGCTCCTTTGCTTTGTACAGCTGAGAGACTCTTGTCTCCAGGGAAATAGTAATCTTTGTGTTTATATTGCCTTTCAGAACAATTGGGAGCGAGGGGCTGAGCCACATCATTTTGGGGACAAGAGCCTTGTTAACCTTGTGAGGGGAGGAGAGACAAAATGAGTCAATGGATTTTTTAAAACAATTCCCTCTCTGCTAATACAGCCCCTTTGTTTTTTTTTATTTGGGGTAGCAGAGTGCTCTTTACTCTGATCAAGAATTAGAGGCCCTATTGTGCTAGACTGGTGAGTCCAACTTCCACCAGTGACCTAGAAGAGAGAATGTGCAGTTAATGATGAATTGAAAATTTGCTCCCTGAACCATCCCTGTGGATTTTTTTTTTTTAACCAAAGTGTGTGTGTCACCCAGGCCCTGTGGGCGCTGCCTCCCCCATACCTCTCACTTCTGAATCTGCAGTTCTTGGGTAAACCTGGAATGCTCTGAGCAGTTGCCTGCCTGAACATAGGGGAGCACCTATTAAAGGGTGACTCCCCTCTGCCCCATCCTTTCCAGTAGCTGCCAGGACAGCCCAAGAGAGTGGGGAGATAAAGACAGAGAGACAACACTCAATTAAAATTCCATGATTCTCTACCCTTATCCTGGTCAGAGCCAGCCTAGCAGTTGCTCTTAACTTGTGCCAGCTAACAGTCCCAATGGGACTGTCTGCCTGTTGTGGATAGCTGAAGCATAACACATTCCACACTCTCACCCTTCCCTCCTCCCCCTCTTAGGCCACCTATGCCCTGCTATACTGGCTCCATGCACTCCAGGTGGATAGAATCCCCAGCAGGGACATTGTGAGGGATTCCACTCCTTTTATTACCTGAGTGATGCAAGGCAAGAGATTTTGCCTCCAGTGTAACAACTGGAGCTCCTTGATCTTTTTCAAAAATAAAATGTGTGCCTCTACAGCTGAAAGGATTGGACACCACGGTGCTAGGTGCTGTACAGGTAAAAATGTCCAAACTCTGGGGAGGTCACAGTTCTGTTTTTTTACAAGCCTAAACAGCTGAATGAGGGGAAGGTAGGGTGGTTGGGAGGATTAGATTAAAAAAAACAAACACAATAAGGCTTTTGGACAGTATGTAGTAGTTTTAACTTCCCAGCTGCCTACCCAGTTCTTTGCTTTCTAGGTATTTTCATATTTTGTGTACATGTTTGTGTTTTACCTCAGCACTAGAGTGAAACCGAGGAGTTGTCTGTTGGCAAATAGTGAACTGATTTGTTCAGTTAAAGTCTGCCCAAAAATAATGTAATAGGTATAATTTGCTTCTACATATGCACAGGTTGAGTTGTTTGTACTGTCTGTGGAACCTGAAAAGAATCAGACTAGGGTTTGTTTGTTTTTAAGAATCACCCCAACATATGAAGTTTTAGCAAACTTTGAAATTACATTTTTAAAAACCAGATGAACTCTTGGACTTTAATTTTGTATCATTGTTTTAAACATCAAATATTGATTACAACTGAAAAACAAAGCCCATCACAAATGTCTGTTACATATAGTGAAAGTCTCTAAACAAAGTTTCACAGTTTTGTTAGGTATGAAGATTCTGGGCTACCATTTTTCACTTCTGTACATCTGACGGTTGCGGAGAAACGCACAAATGCTACTGCCATTCTGTATTTGAATATTCAAATCAGTATTACTATTTAGTGACCAACATTACCTCCTCATAGCCTATGTAATTTTAACATTTAGGTTGTATTTTCAATCTGACATTTTGCCTTGCATTTGCACCATACGTACCAAAGTTGTCTACACGCAATTCTGAAAGCGAGGGGAGAAAGTGCTTCTTTTTTAAAGACTCGTGAAAGTGTGCCAAATAGAATGTACCTGTAAAACAGGCAGCTGGAGACCTAGAACTTGTGTGTGCTGAGAAGCTAGTTATCCCTGCTGTGATGGATGTATAATTCTGGGTGGGTGGCCCATCATTTTTTCCCCATCCACCCTTTTATACTGATATACATGTATATATGTGTATATATAGTGAAAATCCTACTTAAAATACATAGTAACTATTGGGTATCTTGGTTCAAGTTGCTGCTTTTCAGCAAAGTGTCAGCAATTTATATTAAAGTTACTACCAGATCTTGACCTGTTGTTCCAACTGTAAATAGGAAAGTGCTGCAGATGTGCTGCTGTTTTTAAAGACTGGACAAAAACTATTAAGCTAGGATTTGTATAAAATGAGACGCACATTCTAAGTGGAAGAAAAATCAACAATTATGTAATCAGATTGTTCTGCAATTTTATAATGGTTTGCAGACTTTCATTTGTCTTGTGTACAGAGTCTGGAAAGTTCTTTAAAACGTACTGAATAATCAGTATTGCTCATCCTGATTTTTTTTAAATTGTATATTTCTAATCATATTTTTTTAAATCAGATTGAATGACAGAATGGGAGTTTTATTTTGCTGAAGGTATTTTTAAGATAAAGCTTCATGATGTCTTGTAAACTTAGTTTGATATGCATTTGTCATTTGGAAATCTTGCATATTGTAACTTGTTTTATACAAAATATTGAATAGTAATAATTGTAAATTATGAATTGTGTACAAATAAAACTATTAACCTGATGTTTCCTATTCCCAACAACCTTGACAATCAGATTAGTCAGAGTCTGCATTGGCATGGGTGGCTTCCAACAGTAGATCAACAAATGGTAACATTTTTGTGACTGTTCACTGAAATGCATAATATACTAATCATGCCTCCCTGACCAACATAATCAAAGTGCAAAATTGTAAGGGATAACTTTTCATTTACTAAAACGATAAACTCAATTCTCATGAATTATCCTTGCCTTGTTAAATATGTTTACTCTGTGAAGATGGTTACCTACTGACTTTGCTTTGAGCAAATCACTTAACCTCCTTGTGCATCTTTCCCCACCTGTAAAGTGGGGATAGTACCTGCCTTTGTATAGTGCTGCAAGATAAAAATATCAAGTGCAAAGTATATAATACCAAATTTTATTGAAATTATGATAATATAATACACAATGTTGCAAAAAAGGGTCCATTGCAAACTCAAACTGAAAACTTCAAAATTTCACACAAAAAAATGTTTATACAGAATTTTAGAGTTGGACAATAAACTCAACAGTGGTCAAGCTGGGCTAGCCTGAAGTCAACCTTTGCCACTGGTG